ACCTACATATATTATAAACACGTACGCAGCAGACAGGTACGTACGTACGTATACACACACACACATACATGGAGGTTTCTGTATAGCTGTTTGGTGCTGGCCGAACGATCCCGACTTGGAAATTGTAAGGCGATAATAACGCGCTTTAGCGTTCGATCAATCGGATTAACCAACATATACCAACCAACCCGATGTGGGGTGGCTATTATTACGTAGGGCTTGTTCCTACCTTCAAATGTTGTCACGCTTCGTTTTAAGGGTAAGGTATTTTCCGTCCTAGTATCCTCCTTCCTATCCCATTGACTTTCGATTTCTCACTCGAGAACGTGTGTGTTATCCGGATCGTATAGATAGATAAAGATGGAAAATAAAAAATTCGAGATAAAACAATATTTCGTTTGCAGTAATTACTATTACTTAAGGTAAAAAAATTTAGGGTAAGAAAAAAAATTCAAAATAATTTAGGAAAAGAAAGTTCGTGCGTTTATTTTATTATAAATTGTGTTCTAAATTGTATAATGTTGGATAGTTATTTTTTTTTTTAAATTTATTTTTGACATATAAATTTAAAACTTTTGGTACACCTTAATTATTTTAATTCGAATTATTTTATTTTAAATTATTATTGAATCTCATAGTTCATGATTGTTACAAAGTAAGGATTAGATTGGAATGGTATTTTCCTCACACATATTATATATCTTTATATATATTCTATATACACGAACACACACGTAGTCGAATTGATTCGGATGATAATCGTGCTTAGAATCCCACGTTTAACACGGAAGTCCTTTGATGTTACCAATAATCAGGATGATCATTGTAGCGCAATATTCAAGGACGATCAATGATTGATAATCCTGTGCTACGATATAGCGAATAACGGATCCTCTCATACTCGAGTTTTGCGTAGACGATCGTTTGCAGATATAAATAGGAACCGTATGCGTATGATTTCTCTGCATTGTTGAGACGAGAGTTATGGATTTCGAGATTCTTTTTTTTTTTTTAAGTGGTCATTGTGTCCAAAAAAAAATAGATTTAAAAATAAAAATATACATGTGTATGTAGTATGTAAATAATAAAAAAAAAGTAAAATAAAATAAAATAAAATTGAAGAAAATGACAGGAATGATAGACCCGAAAAGCTGTTTTTCCACAAAAATTGCACATATTATATTTATATATATATATATATATGCGTATCACATATGTATACATATGTGTATACACCATATATAAAAAAATAGAGAGAAAGAAAGAGACACACAGTTTGGTGTCGATTCCACGCGTCGATTTTATTATTCACCGTGCAATCGAGTATGAGCGACGATATTAAACGTGCAACATGAATCGAAAGAGTAACGTGAGAAGGGAAATTTTTTCATCTTCCTATTACCCATTTCCTATTCCCGTTCTTCCTCACTATTACAATTCCCTTTTTTATCTATCCATTTTTCTTTTTATTGCCCTATATATACATCTCTCTTATTTCGTCTCTTACATCTTCAACAATAAAAATCGTGCGACACACGATCAAGGATAAAAAAAAAATATAAATGTAAACACAACAAATATAAATTTCTTTGTTACGAAATTATTTTTCTGCAATTACAAAGATACTTCTCTATTATTTTTTTATATAAGCTATTATTTTTTTTTTTTCTTTCTTATCTAACAATTCAAACACAATATATGACGAGGAGAACACAAAGAGAGAAAACAAACAAAAGAAATTAGAAAAAATTATACATACACATATGTATGTATGTATGTATATGTTTTTAAGATAACAAAATTCGTTTGCTTTTTATTCATTAGGACACACCTTATCATTATTTTAAGAGGGATGAGGATAGAAAGAATGAAAGAGAAAGAGAGAAAAAGGAAAAAAGAGAGAACAATCTTGACGACGAATCAAGGAAAACGAGTGCAGCGGGTTCGTCGACGTATTTCTTATCTGTGTCACGTAACGTGCGAGTTTCCTTCGTGTGATTACACGTCCAATACGTACACACACACACACACCCCATACACGGTTAGATATATACATGTACACATTACACGAATAGGTGTATTCGTTAACATTGACGATGAGGGAAATAGAATGAGAGAGAAAGAGAGACTAATGTAAGAGAAAGATAGTTGAGAGAAAGAGAGAGAGACCAGTCATCGTATTTAACGACTAACGTACACGCATGCACGTATATTAATCGGCAAGAATGGCGTTTTGGTGCGTGTAAACAGCTACCGATAGCATTAACGAAACTCACGTTGGAAAGCAAGCGTCGTTATCGTCATTATGCTCGCATTAGATACAGTACTTTATTCTCCCTCTTCGTTACGCACCCTACGCACGTACTCACTACTATCTACTATATATTATACCAATATACTTTCTCTCTCTTTCTATACGAGAGAAAGAGAAAGAGTGAGAGAGAGAGAGAGAGATATGTGTTCTCTGTTTTACTCAGTCTCTCATTCTATCGATCTAATGAAGTATCGCGACGCATATACAGAACATTTACACACACACACACATATATATATATATATTTATATAAATGCACACACACCGACCCACACACAGACATACAGATGAATACAAAAGTTAGACTCGATGCGTTATCGCACCACAGTCGCTTTATTTATTAAATACTTTTCGTCATTCTATTTGATTTTGTTTTCGAGCGTTGCCCGTCCAATAGATAGACGGACAGACGGATTAAATATCGCTCTAAACTCGATATAAAATGGCTGTGTGTGCCGGTGACAGCTTAATGAAAGCGTAATGAATATAACACGGTAAGGGCAGATAAAGAGAGATAGAGATAGAGAGAGAGAGAGAAAGTACGCAATGATGCTCTTCATAGACGGTAAATGATTATCGCCAATAACGGATATTAATAGTCTTTAAGCACCAACCGGGAATACGTTCGGGCGATAATTTCATTCGAGGTAGTTGGTAAATTAATTACTACGATGTCTCGCAACTATCTCTCTTTCTATCTCTATCTCTCTCTATCTCTCTGAGTATTATTAATTCGTTGTGTTTCACGACACGCGTTCGTATCAAGAGGAAAAACAAAACTATACCAAACTAGAGTA